ACTAGTCGACTAACGGACCTAAATGATGACTATTGGTGGACTAGGAAAATTCTCGGGGGGCAGCCCTAACATTTTGACTGTTTCTGAAGCATGAACAAGTTAAGTCACTGTCATTAATATAGCCCTAAATCACACATTTCGTCACTCTCTGTCTTTAGACTCTCAAAAACAGGGAAACATGAAAGCATTATGAAAACAGAAAATAACTTACTTACATGATTCATCTCTAAAAGTATATTTAATTTATCTCAAAAACATCCATCTATCCAATAGCTATACCTACTAATTCCTTAAAAAAGTTGATTTACTTACCCAGTCTCATTCCAAAGTTGCTGAATACTGGTGCGCGGGTAGTGACTTTCACATAAGGCACTGATGAAAAATGTATTTGTTCACTTGGGCATGATATGCGGACAGCGTCAGGGGGAAATGCAGCCGGACAACAACGAAAGCTAAGGGGGCAGAAGTCCTAGAAAGGCAGGGAGGAGGGGTGCTAGATGGGTCCATCAATCACCAACCTTCTTCCAGGAGGCTGGTGTTTGCTTCCTGTATGAATATAAAGCCAAACCCTGTTATCTTTTTCAAAACCTAACCACATTTCATTGCCTAAACATAACCATGTGTGTTTGTTGTTGAAGGAAAAACATGTCAAGTCCCAGTGTTGTATACTGACTAGTACATTTATTTTGAAAGAGACCGTACATGTCCTGTGAAAATGGAAATGTATTTTGAAAAGACACAATGCATGTAACAGGCTGAAGTTGACCCAGATGTGCCAATGTGCCTGCTTTGGTGCGAAACTTAGTAGAACAGTTGTGTTGTCCTGTGCACTGCTTTGCGCCAAGTGTAAGACAAGTGAGACATTAGTTTGTCCTTTGGCAGGCAGAGAGGGATCAACACAGACCAGGTGTATAATAATGTCCCGTTTTCACCAAACATTATCAGTATGGTACCTAGACCCTATAACCTGGAAATCCAGATGCCCTGCCCCTAGGAAATTCGAATTTGCTCTGCATGGGGATCTGACCCCGACGAGCAGAGCCCGCTGAATCAACATCGGACCAATCAGATCAGTCTATCTGACAGAGGCGGGCTCTGGGCGGGTGCAACATGATGCACCGTAGGAGTCGAAAAGTAAACAGCCAAGATGGCAGCTAGCGAAGGGCCGCGTCCATTCAATTTAGCTTTGGAAGAAAGGCTAAGCCAACTACACTTATCTTTTTCCTTGAGAGAGGAACAGAAGACTGCACTAGAATTCTTCGCTTCCAGGAAGGACGTTTTTGCCGGTTTGCCAACGGGCTACAGCAAAAGCATAATATATCAGTTAGCCCCACTGTTCGGCAAACCAATGGGGCTTACTGCAATGAACACCTTGTTTTTTGCTCTGATTGGCTATCGTGCTATCCAATTGTGTGTGGCAGCATTTAATATGCCTCAGTTAGTGCCGCCCCTTGGGTAGGAAGGGTGTATCGGTTAGGGCCAGACTCAAGATCTTTCTAGATTTGAGTCTGGATTTCCAGGCTATAGACCCTAGCATTTCCACTGCAAACCGTACCCTTAAAGGGACATTGTGTAACATTTTCAGTTGTTTATTGGCAAAAATTGATGTCTGCATTCATAAATATGTCATCACTGGTGTACTATTACCTCCACCAATAATCTGACTTATTCTCATAAAAGGAGAATTTCGGATTTGTTTGTACATTGTGCGGGTAAGTCGTCTGTGGGGTTCCATTACGTTTCGCCATCTTGAGAATACACCCGCCAGCAAGGGACATACAGCACCGCCTTCAGCGTTTTCGTTGAGAGCCAGGCCAGCACTGCGTGACTGAGGAGCCGAAGGAGAGGAGCAAGAGGCGCTTCGCTACTACCCTGGCAAATATGAAACAAAGTCCCACTCTTTGAGCATAATGCAGGATCATGCATATGCAGCATCATG